GAAACTGGATTCGAAATATCTTCGACCCAGAAAAACCTCGTGCAATCTCGATCAGCTTCATTCAGCTCAAGCTGATGGAAGGCATTTTCAACGTCTCCCAGTATAACTAATTTCATGGAGCGGAATCACAGTAGAATGCATAAATTGGACAGCATTTCTGGCCCGCGGTAGATAAAATCATTCAAACATTTACTACTGGATAATTTTGCCGAGAAATCGAATAACATGCGGATTTTCGCTGTTGTTCTTTGAGGAGTCATCACCGCTTGGTGTAGTAAAGATGGAACATTTTTGTTTTCCTGGTGGTCGTTTGTGGCGCGCTGGCCAGCAAAATGGCTTTTATTATACAGCGTTTAGGTACCATAAAGCGCAGTTAAATATGCTTGAATGTACAATCGAGTATTAGCAGTAGGTTGGTCCTTAGATCTTAGGAATTGGAACTCAAGCAGTTTGATGGAAGACGAATAATTTGTCGAAACGGAGTCTGCACCATTGAGCCGCCTGACGAAGTCGAAGGAGTAGGACGAGACGAAAAGCAGGACTTTGAATGAAGAAAAAGAGAGGGTTTTACAGGTGTTTTATCCAGGGAGGGATTTCGTGCCCGACTCCCCTTTGCACCAGCTGCCAACTGGCTTTAATAACAAAGCATTATTAGATGAGTTACAGTACTATGTCTAGAGGCTTCACTCTTACAAAGGATCATTATCGGGGTATAACACAGACAAGAAAAGAGGGGGCCATATGGTGGTAATTTTGGTTACAAATTTAAAAATCGAAAAGAAATTCAGAGATCATTATTTAATATTTAAATTTAGCAGCTCATATTTACAGTGTTGAATATGGTGTAAAACTCACCTTGGGCGCTTGTTATCACCCACTTATTCGATTATCTCCAGCCTCCTCTGGTCGTTGATTAGTTGATCATATCTTATAAGTGGATTTGGTTCTTCATTTAGTCGTCGGATTGTCGTCTTTAATCTCCCAAAGCAAAGTCCGCAATGAGTATTCAGCTAAGGTTTAGGTGTATTTCATGGCCGATTAACTGAATAAGGGCCATCTTTCCTTCTTTGAAAGGTCTTTTCGAAATGTTCCAGCGCTTTTGTATCATCATCTTCATTCAGCGACTCTTGTTTTCCGATTAATTCCAACTACCAAAAGCGATCAACATCGTCGGCCAATGCCGGCTGTACAACGACAGCTGTTTTTTGGT